ATTAAGTCTCAATCTTGTTACTTTAGGTTTCATTATGAATAAACATGCCCATGTTACTTATTGTAATAGCGACCAGTATTTAGCAATGGGTTAAGCATTTGAAGTGTATTGGTCAGAGGCCTTAAGGATGTTTCACACTGAGTCACCATCACCACCATCCATGAGCAGAGCTTTCTCATATTATAAAATCAGGTGTGGTGACATATAACTAATCCCAGCACTTGGGAGGTAGAGACCCGAGGCAGAGACTGGGGGATTGTTGCAAGTTTTTTGTTCAGATTGGGCTACAGTGTGACACCTTGTCGCACCCCCATACCCCAAAACTTTGAAGTTGCATAGTTATTATCTGCTTATCCCCCCTCCCCCCCATTCATCCTGCTGATCCTGGCACCCACCATTTTCCTTTCCATCTCTGTGAGTCTGACTCTGGGGCCTCATGTAAGTGGAATCTTACCTAGGGTACATTTCCTTGTGTGACTGCTTCATCCCTTAGCATAGTGACCTCAAGGTTCATCCCTGAAGTGAGTGTGGTGTTGCACACCTGTGAACCCAGCACTTGGTAGTAGAGACAGGAGAATCAAGAGTTCAAGGACAGCCTCAGTTACATATATATAGAGAGAGAGAGTGAAAGGCTAGCCTGGGATACATGGGACTCTGTCTCAAAAACATATATAGCACGTACCAGAATTTGTTTCTTTTTAAAAGCTGAATGTTATATGTGTGCGTGCACAAACACACACACGTGCATGCTCACATGAGCTTGTGTATATACATATTGTTTATCCAGTCATTCAGTAGTGATTCTTGAGTTTTTTCCACTTTTAGAGAATATGAATAATGCTGCTATGAATGAACTCCTTAGCTTATTTTTGCAGAGGCAGTACATAGCCACCACCCCCACCCCCATGGTATATATGCTCACATGTATGTCAGTGTGTGCAAGAGGAGGCTAGAGGATGATGCACATGTCTTCCTCAGTCACTCTCCAGCTTGTTTTTGAGATGCAGTCTCACACTGAACCCAGAGTTTGTCATTTTGCTGCAGCTTTGCTAAGCTTTTTAGGTGGGTGTTAGGGATCTCATGCTGAGTAAAGTGCTCTTAGTCATGGAGCCATCTCTCCAGCTCCGGAATGGTTTTTCAGATAACCAGCCTTCAAGCTTTTGAGACCTCACTGCTTGAATGGGTGTGTGTCCGTGACTGTAAACCCTGACACATTCTAAAAGGTTCCTTGAAAAGCTCCACCAGTTGATGGAATCGGGGTGGGGATTTTATTTGGTAAATACTGAGCTATGGGTGTGACCCATCATTCCAGAGGCACAGAACAGGAGGATGGCTTGCGTTCCAGTCTGGGCTACAGTGTAAAATGCAAGTAAACCCATTCCCCACAATAAAACAATTGAATGAGCAAAAACTCCTGAGCTAATAAAGAAGTGCAGATTGCTGTTCACGTGCTAAAGACTGTCTTTGAGGGGCATGTAAGGGTATTTACAAATGTAGATGTCTTGAGGATAAAATGAATTTATGATTGATGTTTTAATTATTAAGTGATATTTGGTAATGATAGTTTCCAAATCCTCCCTCCCTCCCTCCCCCCCCCCCCCCCTTCTTTTTTTTTTTCTTTCTTTCTTTCTTTCTTTCTTGGTTTTTCGAGACAGGGTTTCTCTGTGGTTTTGGAGCCTGTCCTGACTAGCTCTTGTAGACTAGGCTGGTCTCGAACTCACAGAGATCTGCCTGCCTCTGCCTCCCAAGTGCTGGGATTAAAGGCGTGCGCCACCACCGCCCAGCAGTTTCTAGTTTCTTAATCATACCATCTGATGCTCCCGAATTATTAACTGAATTTGATGACCTACATGGTGTGTGTGTGTGAGTGCTGCAGAGGGAAAAGCTATTGCCAGCAGTTTAGGCACACACCTCTAACCCAGAACATGGCAAACTGAGGTGAGAGAACCATGGTTTGATTCCAGCCTGAGAGAAAGCAATAAATATCCTGTCTGAAAAGAGGCAGGGTGGAGGTGGCACGCAGGGCAGAAGTATACAGATGTATGGATGTTGAAGGAAAATGTTTAGATTCCTTGAATCCTCTCTTAATTCAAAGTAATTTGGTCAAACATTCTTAGGGAAAGCCCAGTTTTGCAGGTAGGCAGGAGGCATTCTTAGCAAACTCAAAGCGACATTGACTTTGTGGTGGGTGGTGAGATTGTAGGCTCTGAGTCAGGGTTTCCGGAGCTTTACTGATGTGTTTGTGTAATAAAGATCTGCATGAGGGCCCTGCTAATGCAGTGTGGTCAGATGTCACTGGGCAAGCCTGTTAGCCAATCTCCATGGTGTGCATGCTCGGGCTCAACCCACAGACGCGAGGAAGTGCTAACGTGCTTGTTAAGCTGCCCCTCTAGTATCTGGCCTTTCTTGCCTCCTTTGGGGACTGTCTAGAATTAGTTGAAGCACAAAGCATTAGAAGTAGACTTCAAGGCTGACTGACTGGTCACCACAGAATAATATTGGAATTAGTTTTTCACATCTAGGTAAAACTGAAGGTAAATTGAATAGTTGATATGCAAAAGTTAATTTAGGGCTGGCAAAGGAGGGACTTGTCTTATTTTGTATTTGTTATGTAAGTTAAATTGAGTAAAAACTTGGCTTCTCAGTCATGGAATTCCTTTATCCCAAATGTGACACAGACATTTATTTGGCCAAGGTTATTTGGGAAATACTACTGAGTCCACGGCGCACAATCCCTTCCTGAGAGCTTATCTTTTACCACTGGGGAGTGAGGCAGGCTGAAGCAGTTTCTTTCTTTGGGTCAGACAAACAGAAGAAAATAAAAGTAAGAGAACTTACACACATGACTAGTCTTTTTTAAACAGCTGTGTTCAGACATAATCCACATTGAAATGATGTAACCAGATTCGTGGTTTGTAGTTTGCTCGACTGTACACTCATAAACACGTTTTGTCACCCTCAGAAGAAAGCTAGACCTGTAGCAGTCACTCCTTTGCACCAGCCAGCCAGCCAGCCATCCTTACTTTGTGTTTGCACAGTTCTCCACTTGGGTGTTTGGTCGAATGGACTCTTATAGCACATTGTCTTTTGTGACTGTGTATTACATTTTTTGTATTGCTATTATTACTGTGTGTGAGGTGTGTATGTGTGCAGATGTGAGCCTGCTGTGGTGCGTGTGGAGGTTAGACTGGTTCTCTTCTTCCATGGGTCACAGGTTTGGAACTCAGGTTGCAGGCTTGTGTTGTAAGTACCTTTGCCTATTGAGCCATCTCACTGGCCTGTGCCTGTCTGTTTTCACTCAGTGTAAGCCTCGGCCGAGTAGTAGCTTGTATCAGTAGTTCATTCATTTTATTTTATTACTTTAAAGTAATAAAATTGTTGTGTGTACTAACTGCCTATGTGGAGATCAGAGAACAGCTTTGGGGAGTTGATTCTTTCCTTCCACTGTGGGTTCCAAGGGCAGAATGCAGGTTATCAGGCTTGCCCATCAAGCCCTTTCCCTGCTGAGCCATCTCTCCTGCCCCGTTCATTTGAATTATTGAGTAATGTTCCATTCTGTGGCAGTTCACATACCTGTGTTTTGCTTGATGGACTTTGGAATTCTTTCTTTTTCTACTTTATGCAAAATATACAGCTGTGAACATTTTGTCTGGGAGTTCTTGTGTGGATGCGGGTTTCTGTGTTTCTCTTGAACTCTATCTAAGAATAGAATTGCTGGGTTGTATGATGACCCTGCTTAGCCCTTTTAGGGACAGTTTTCCCAAGTGACTGCCCACTTCCATGCCAGTCAGGTGCCTTCTGTACATCCTTGCCAACCTTTGTTTTGCTTTGTTGATTATAGTTCTCTGAATGGGTGTGAGGGGCATCTCATTGTGGTTTGGTTGTCTTCCTATGGTGTCGGGCGATGCTGCACGTCTTCCTGTACTCACTGGGCACTTTTGTACCTTGTTTGAGTGTTGTTTTTTCTGATACTTTGTCCATTTGAAAATTGATTATTCATCATTTTTATTATTGACACGTAAGGGTAAGACTTCTGTTGTTGTTTGAGACACTTCCTAGTCTATGCTGGCCTCCACATTTTTATACATCTGAGGGTCATCTTAACTCCTGATCCTTCTGTCTCTACTTCCCAAGTGCTGGGTCTGCACCTCCATGTGCAGTCAAGAGTTCTCTACATATTCTAATGTAAGCCCCTTAGTATACAGATGCCATTGGCAAACTTTTTTTTTTCCAGTTCAGTGTGGTCTTTTCTCTTTTTTTTTGACTCCCACCCCTGCCCATGTTGCTGAGGATCTAGGGATTTAACTCAGAGCCTCCTGAGGTCTCTCTACTGAGTATAGCCCCAATCCCTGCCGTGAACCTGTGTGCTTGGGGTGTCACTGCCGACTTAGCAGTATGAAGATTTCGTTTATGAACATAGAGTATCTTTCCCTTTATTTAAGTCTTTAACTCTTTTCAACTGTATTTTGGATTTTTCAGAATACAAATCTTGAATTTCTTTTCAATTCATTCCTAATTTTAAATTTTTGATACTGTTTTAAGTACAATTTTTTTTTATTTCATTTTCATATTTCCATTGCTGGTGGGTGTATAGAAACACAGTTGATGCTTATCTATTCAGAAGCATATTGTTTGGTCTTTTTCTAGTGGGTCTTATAGGACGTTTCTGTACACAAGACACAACCATTGGCAAATAGAGAGATTCATGCTTCCTTCCTTCCCAGTCTGGATACTTGTGTTTGTTTTTCTTGCTTGACTGCCCTGACTAGAATGTCTAGCACAGTGGTTAGCAAAATTTGAGCAGTAAGCATCCTTGTTCTGATGTTGGAGGTTGAACTGTCTAGTCCCTCGCCATCAAGTATGATGCTAGCTTTATTAGATTGAGAAAGTTCCCTTCTCTTCTTAGCGTATTTCTCCTGAAACACTGGAATTTCTGTTAAATATTTTCCCCAAATTATTCATTTCTTAAATATGGCTTTTCTTTTCTTTTTAATCTGCAGAAATTGACTTACATACCAAATGTGTGGTGGATGTCGAAGCAAACAAAGTTATTCTGAATCCTGTAAATACAAATCTTTCCAAAGGAGATGCCCGGTAAGTTAAGAAACAATGTCATGTTCACTGAAATTATCAGTGGCTCCTGGACAAACCTGGGCGCTCCCTATAGACATAGATGCAGCCTACCAGGAGGCTGTTCTCAGGCTGCAGATGAGTGGTGAGGGGATGTTACGAGGTTTCAGACAGAGCTCCTGACAGTGGAAACTTGGATAAGGGTGAGCACTGTGGACAGGTAGTGCTGGGTGAAGATCCAGGCAGGTGAATGCAGAGAGGGCAGAGAGAGAGACTGCACTGACTCCTTAGTGGGGAAGCTGCTCCTTAGGCTTGCCCAAGTCCTGTCATTAGTCGGGGCCAGTTCCAAGTGCTACCTTCTTGAAGACTTTTCTGCAGCCCTTAGAAGGTTGTCTCTTCTAAATACAGGCGAACTGGAGACCACCTAATTTAATTACTGCACATTGCTAACTCTTTGAGGGGCACCCTGATCCTATCAGACCGAGGACAGGTATTTCAGCATCACTTGTGAATTTGGACAAATGTGGTAACAGAAGGAAAGAGTGAGAAGGTGAATTAGGAAAGAACAAATGAGATTAATTATGTTTATCTCAGAAAATGGAGTGAAATGAATTAGATAACTAAGCTGGACTCAGATCGTAGACACGCCAGGAAGCAGACAAGGAGGTTTACCTTGTAGCCCAGACTGGCCTTGAATTTATTTTTTTCTGCTCCCAGCCTCCTGAGTGCTGGATTACAGCTGTATGCTACCATACCTGTCTCTGGCTTGTATAAGAAGGAGGTGAATTGGGAAAAGTTGGTGCTGTAGAAAGCAGAGTAAAGTTGGGGATGCTTTTGTGCTGACCCTGGACTTGGAAGTCAGGTAGATACTCTGTAAAAACTGGGTAGTGTGACTTATGGTATTTCATGGTGATCTTTTGATTTGAATCTAACAATTGCTGGATGTGGGGTCAGAGATTCTGAATTGAATCCATCCATAGCTGTCATGTAGCTGTGTTTTCTCTCTTAGATAGGGCCTTGTTTTGTGGTCAAAGCTAGCCTGGAACTCATAGAAATCCTCTTGCCTCAGCTTCCTGAGTGGCTAGAGTATAGGTGTATAAACCACCATGCCTGCCTTGTAGCTAGTTAATTTATTTGAATCAAATTTCTATGATGCCAGATTTACCTATTTCACAGAATAATTTTTTTCCTTCAAAGATCAAATTAATGTTTGGTCAAATATTTCATAAAGTGCTTTGCAAATGTTTATTGTACTGATGGTGGAGATATTTCTTAAGTATCTCTAGTAATAAGGATTATGGGTTATGTTATTAATGACATGTTAAGGGTATAGTCTTGTAAAACATGATACTGGGAGTCTGGGGATGTAGCTCAGTTGGTAGAGTGCTTGCCTCACACACACAGGGCCCTGTGTTGACTGCCCAGCACCACATAAACCAGGCATAGTAGACTCCTGTAATCTCAGCACTCATGTTGGAGTCAAAAGGATCAGAAATTTAAGGTTACCTTTGGGCTCATATTGAGTTAGAGGCTAGCTTGGGCTTCCAAAAGAGTTTGCCGGGATTTCATACTGGCCAGTAAAATGCACCATGGCTCTGTTGGGCATTGCTTTTTTTTTTTTTTTTCTCACTTTGGGGACTTGCAGTGCAGATGCATTATTTGGACCCGTGGGCAACTTCGTGTAAATCTGGATATAGTGACTGCACTCAGAATTCTGACTTTGCCTCCCTAAGGCATGGCAGCTCACCCTTGTACTTTGTTTACCCGGTGCTTCTGTTATCTCTTGTTACTTCAAAAGCATAGTACCTTAAAATGGCAGCCATCAGTTTTTGTTCTGTGTTTTCTGTGCTTCAGGAGACCAGTCAGGGCACAGTGGGATGGCTTGCTCTACTCCATGTTATATAGGATCTGGCTGGGAGATTGAAGACAGGGTTTGGATTCATCTGGAAGGGCTGTGGAGATCAGGCCTGGTAGTTCACATCTTCTGTTGAGTGGAGATGTCTTTGAGGATGTGTGTAGGACTTCAATTCATAATCTGGTGACCAGTTCCAAGATGAATGTCCCAAAGGAGGCCAAGGCAGGAGGAAGCATATCTGCCTTGTATGTCCATTGTGTGGGTCACACAGGTCAGTTCTGTCCCATTTTCCTGCTCAAGGCTAGTGGAAAACTCTATAGTTTGTGAAGTTATTTCTTGTGTGTGTGTTTCTGTGTCTGTGTATATGCATATGCAGATCAGAAGTCAACCAGCAGGAGCTGGTTCTCTCTTCTATGTGGTTCCCTGGGATCGACCTCAGGTCTCAGGGATGGTAGCATGTGCTCTTACCCAATAAGCATCTCTGGTTTAGAGAAGGAACATTCAGCCCCCAAGCCTTGGGTTCTAAGGATGGCATTGGTAGGGTGACAGGTGGATATGCCCACTGTCTTTGGGTGCAGTCTTTCAGATTATGGGGTGTAGCTGCCTGAGAAAGTGACTGAAATGAAGTGAGCCTACAAACTTAAAACAGTACCTGTCCCCCGAGATCTTCCTGTCTTGGAGGTCTGTGAAAAAGTAGCACGTTTTGATTATATAGATTATTTTGGATGGTTCTTTTCTCTCATATAGTAAGAATAGAAATTGATTATTTACTATTGTAGAATACAAAGTTCCAAGAAGGATTAAGCATAATTATATATAATGTTTTTTGGCCAAATAAAGTTAAGCAACTTGACTTTTGAGACAAGGTATCCCTATATAACTATGTAGCCCAGGCCAGCCTTGAACTAATTAATGATCTTCCTGCCTCTGCCTCAGAGTGCTGAGACTATAGGCATATGCCATCATGCTCAGCTTTGAACCATAGATTTTTAAATAACAAATTTTCATTTAAGTATATACATGTACAGAGAAGTGCATAGCTTGGTTAATTTTTTGAATAATTTATTTTAACTTTATTTTAGGTGCATTGGTGTAAATGTGTCAGCTCCCAGGGAGCTGAAGCTACAGGCAGTTGTGAGCTGCCATGTGGGTGCTGGGAATTGAACCCGGGTCCTCTGGAAGAGCAGCCAGTGCTCTTAACCATTGAGCTACCTTTCCAGCCCCAGCTTGGTGAATTTTTATAAATTGGATATTCTTCTACAACCAGTACCATGTAAAGGATTGCTCAGCCAATAAAAGTGCTTGACACCAAGCCTAGCGACTTGAAACCCATGGTGGAAGGAGAGAACTGAATCCTGAAAGATGTCCTTTGACCCATGCAAGAGCAGTGAATAAAATAAGAATGAGAAAAAGGAACAGAACATTGCTAGTGTGCAAAAGATTACTTGATGAGATCTCCCTCTCGACCTTCCTCCTTTCTTCCACAGGATGTCATAAGCTAGACCAGGCTGGCCGGCCCGCTCGCCCCCTCCCTCCCCACTCCCTCCTTCCTTCCTTCCTTCCTTCCTTCCTTCCTTCCTTCCTTCCTTCCTTCCTTCCTTCCTTCCTTCCTTCCTTCCTTCCTTCCTTTCTTTCTAAATATCAAGTTGAAAAGAGAAAATAGAAATTTCAAATGTAGGAGTCAGTTGCATATGCTAGCTTCATACATTTGAAAAGAAATAAGAAGGAAATCATAAATTAAGAGGTTAAAATTTGATATCATACTCAAAAGTACTAGATCTTTTCTTTACACTTTTTTAAGGTTTATTTTTAGTATGTGTGTCTCTGTGCCTCATGTGTGCAGGTACCTGCTGAGGTCAGAAGAGGGCATCAGATCCTTTGGAACCTGAGTTACATTGGGCTATGAGCCACCCTGTGTGGGTGCTGGAACTGAACTGTGGTCCTCTGGAAGAGCAGCAGTTTTTGTTAACCACTGAGCCATCTCTCCAGCCCTACCTTAATTTTTCATTAGTGACATCGTTATCTTGTAGAGTATGGAGTAACAGATCACAGCTTCACAGGAGCTGTACTTATGACTTGGAAACTAGAGATTTTCAGTTAACATGGAAGTGTTTGCATCAGTATCCTCAGCTCTTGGGAGGCTGAGGCAGGCAAGAGGATTGCCAGCCTGGGACATAGTGAGTTCAGGAATAGCCCGGGTTTTATAGTCAGTTCCGGGTGCACAGTGAGCCCTCTAGAAATGTCCGCTGTTACTCTCAGTGTGCTGTTATTATTTTTATACTGCATTCCAGTTAAAGTCCATGCTATAATAGAGTTTAATAAAGGTGGTAAATACTTAAAAAAAATCAACATGTTTAGTTAGAACTTGAATGTCTGTGGCTGTCAAGAAGTTACCTAGGTTCTAAAGTTTTCAGCCTTTCAGGACGAGAAATTTTAGAAATACTGATTATTGGGACTGGAGAGATGTCTCAGTGGGGCTTCCTGCTGTTTTGTCGAGAACCCAGGTTTTGTTTCCAGCATTACATGATAGATCACAACTGCATGTAATTCAATTCAGGGGTTCCGATGTTGTCTTTTGGGTCCACAGACTCCTGCACACATATGGTGGCACATAAACTCACAAAGGTATAATAAGATAAGAATAATAATAAATAAGTATTTGTGTGTGTGGTCAGAGGATAACTTGATGGGGTTGGTTCTCTCCTTTTACCTTTACAGGGGTTCAGAGGATCAAATTCAGATCATCAGGCTTTTCAACAAGTGCTTTTACCCACTGAGTCATTTCACTGGCTCAGGATCTGAAAACTTTGAGTTTTCCCAACGTTGATTGGGCACTTAGTGACTAATTTGCCTTCTCTTAACAAGACGGCTCCCCTGGGCAGGAGAGTGAGCTCAGTTGGCAAGTGTTTGCCATGCAGTCATGAAGACCTAAATTCAGACCTAAGGACCCATATAAAAAAGCTGGGTTGGTGTCACACATTGTAATTCCCGCACTCATGAGGCAGCAGTGGGTAGATCCCTGGGGCCTGCTGGACAGCCAGCCCAGCCTCCTTGTCAAGCTCCAGGTCAGGGAGAGACCTTGTTCAAAAAAAGGTGGACAGAATCTCAGAAACAGCACTCGAGCTGGTCGTTTGGCGTCTACATGCCTATGGTTGCACATTCATATGCT